GCAGTGGTGCGATCTCGGCTCACTGCAACCTCTGCCTCCCGAGTTCAAGTGATTCTCTTGCCTCAGCCTCCTGAGTAGCTGGGATTACAGGTGCGCACCACCACGCCAGACTAATTTTTGTATTTTTAGTAGAATTGGGGTTTCACCATGTTGGTCAGGTTATTCTCGAACTCCTGACCTTGTGACCCGCCCGCCTTGGCCTCCCAAAGTGTTGGGATTACAGGCGTGAGCCACTGCACCTGGGTGAATATATATTTTTAAAAATATTAAACTATATATTTTAAAAGGGTAAAATGTATTGTTATGAATTATATCTTAATCAAGTTGTTAAAATATATACATATATATCCTAGCTCTGTCCACACACACAAAAACCCTCTAACAACAATAACCATTCCAACAGCAACAAGCACTATAACTGTGGTCTCAAAATACCATTTCCTACTTAAAGCAATCAGGGCACCATACAGAAAATATTGATTTCATGCATAGGGCAGAAAATGTTCAAAATGATCTGGGGATGTCCTATCATATCAGAAACGTAGGACACCATCAAACACTACTGGGGATGTGTTAAAAGGATTCAGAAGCTATCCTGAAACAGTAGCCAAAGATGAGAACATTTAAGCTTGGAAAAGAAAATAAGTGCAGTAATTTAAGACACATCAAATATGCTAAAAATGATGAATATACAATGGTGATAATAATAAAAACAACCCACTAGGAGATGCCAGAGAACCACTTCAATAACTCAAAATCACATGAAGGGAAAGAATCCATTTATTCTGCCTTTTCTGTACAAACTGTACCTAAGGGTGAACAAACAGTTGACGAGGAAAATTTTTTCTTTAGGAAAATACTCTAGCTAGTAAACGAAGGAATGACAGAATTAGAATATTGCCATTTTGCAGCCCTTACTGAAATAATGGGTCTAGTTAGTAATCATCCATGTTTTCTAAAACCAGTATAGTGGTAAGAAGAACTGTTCTATTTTTAAAACATATGAAAAATATTCTTTTTTTTTTGAGACAGAGTCTCGCTCTGTGGCCAGGCTGGAGTACAATGGCGTGATCTTGGCTCACTGCAACTTCCACCTCCCAGGTTCAAGCGATTCTCCTGCCTCAGGCTCCGGAGTAGCTGGGACTACAGGTGTGCACCACCATGCCCAGCGAATTTTTGTATTTTTAGTAGAGACAGGGTTTCACCACGTTGGCCAGGATGGTCTCGATCCCTTGACCTCATGATCTGCCCACTTCGGCCTCCCAAAGTGCTGGGATTACAGGCATAAGCCACCGTGCCCGGCCCATCCCTCAATATGTCTCACCTTACTTCCTCTAATATTACAACCCAACAGTCCTTCAACCCTGTCAGGACCTTCCATTCCTTGATTCTACTAATTTTTTACTGTCCTTCACCATCTTCCTCACTTTTCCACTTACCTAGCCTAAAATCCAAAATCAAAACAACAATCAATTATTTTGCCAACTTAAGACTCCTTTTGCCTCTCTCTCACATTATTCCTCTTTGCTTCATGAAACCAACATTCTGGTTAAATCCACATCTCCCCCTAACCTGTCTGTGGCTGCAAACTATGCGGATGAACACTGCAGGATAAAAAGCGGATGAACACTGCAGGAGAAAAAACACACAGCTATACAGAATAGGCTCACTTTAAATTCATAAATACTAACATTAAGTGGGTCTTTAATTGTGCCTAAAAATCATAATTTCTCTATTTTCTGTCCCAATCTCTGTGATTTTCTTTCCCCTGCTCTTCTCAAACTCTAGCACCAGTCTCACTCTCATCTGAGTCTCTTTCTAGGTACTTCACTATAAAGTTAAAACAATCATAAGAGAAGGTTCACAAGTTCTCACCAACACATCTGCCCATTTACTTGTATCTGTGCCTGAGTACTTCTCCCTTCTCTCCTGTTATTACCATGGTCAAGGTCCAAGCTCAGCCAAACTCTGCCACGAGATCTCATTTGCTCTGGCTACTTAAGGACATTTTTATATTATCTGCTTTCTCTCCTGTATTGTAGTTTCTCTTTCTACTGGATCATTTCAATCAGTATATAAACAGAATGTATACCTCTTAACTCCAGCTACCACACCATTTCACTTCTTCCATTTAGAAAAAAAAAAAAATCTTCAAGAATTGTCTAGACTTGATATCTCCAATTTTTTCTTTTCCAGTTCTCTCTTTGGCCTAAAATTCCATGGACACTGCTTTCAGGGTCCCTAATAAATGAATTTCATGTTGCCAAATTCCATGTTTCTTTCTCACTCCTCATTTTACGTGGCCTATTGGTAGCACCCGACACAGTTCTTGTTAAAATACATTCTTCCCTTGGTTTCCAGAATATCACACTCACCTAGTGTTCCTTCAACATTTCAAGCTAGTCCCCGTCAGTCTCTTTTGCTAATTCCTCCTTACTTCCCAGAGTTTGTTATGTTAGAGTGACTCAGAGATCAGTCCTTTGTCTCCACCTTTATCTATCTATCCTAACCTCTAAGTGATCTCATTCAGTCTCGTGTTAAATATCATTTATATCCTGATAATTCCCAAATATGTCTCCATCCTAGACCTTAGATCTCTCTTTTGTCTCTCCTTTTGAACTTCATACTTGTATATCCAGTTGCCACCTTGATACCTCCACTTGAATGTCTAATGGGCATCCTCACATTTCACATACTATATTCCAAACTGAAATCTCACTATTTTCCTACATTCCAAGTCAGTTTTACCTACATTGTTCCCCTTCACAGTTAATGACACCTCCATTCAAGTTACTCATAAAAACAATATTGTGTCACCTTGTCTCATTCACAATCTGCCTCAGTTTGTCAGCAAATCACGGCAGCTCTACCTTTAAATTATATCTAGTACATGACTACTTCTCACCATTTTTACTACTCTGGTCCAGATCACCAATATCTTTTCCCTAAAGTACTACAATACAATCATATGCTACGTAACAACATTTCAGCCAACAACAGATCACATATACAACCAGTGGTCCTATAAGATTTTAATGAAGCTAAAAAATTCCTGCCTTTTTTCCTCAGCTGTCGCGAAGGTGCTCGGTCCTTCCGAGAAAGCTAAGGCCGCGTTGGAGTGAGGGCCTCACTTCATCCCGCGACTAGCACCGCGTCCGGCAGCGCCAGTCCCACACTTGCCCGCGCTATGGCCTCCGTCTCCGAGCTCGCCTGCATCTACTCAGCCCTCATTCTGCACGACGATGAGGTGCCCGTCACGGAGGATAAGATCAATGCCCTCATTAAAGTAGCCGGTGTGAATGTTGAACCTTTTTGGCCTGGCTTGTTTGCAAAGGCCCTGGCCAATGTCAACAATGGGAGCCTCATCTGCAATGTAGGGGCTGGTGGACCTGCTCCAGCAGCTGGTGCTGCACCAGCAGGAGGTCCTGCCCCCTCCACTGCTGCTGCTCCAGCTGAGGAGAAGAAAGTGGAAGCAAAGAAAGAAGAATCCGAGGAGTCTGATGATGACATGGGCTTTGGTCTTTTTGAGTAAATCTCTTTTATAATGTGTTCAATAAAAAGCTGAACTTTAAAAAAAAAAAAAAATTCCTATCACCTAGTGACGTCATAGCCATCATAACGTCATAGCACAATGCATTACACATGTAACCTAGGTTTATATAAGTACACTCTATGATGTTTGTGGTGATGCTAATGTAAACAAAACACCCCTACTGCACTGCCAGTGGTATAAAAGTATAGCACATACAGTTGTGTATGGTATTAGTATTTGATAATATTATTGATTATTGATCATGCGTATAGTACATAATACTTGAAAATAATAAATGACCGTTACTGCTTTATGTATTTACTATACTATACTTTTTGTTATTTTAAAGTATAATCCTACTTAAAAAAAAAGTGAACTGTAAAATAGCCTCAAGCAGGTCCTTCCAGAGGTATTCCAGAAGACATTATTATCATAGATGATAACAATAACAATGCATGTTTTTTGTTTCCTGCATGTTCCATGCATATTTATTGCCCCTGAAGACCTTCCAGCGGAACAAGATGTGAAGCTGGAAGACAGTGATATTGATGATCCTGACCCTGTGTAAGCCTAGGCTAATGTGTTTGTGTCTTAGTTTTCAGCAAAGGAGTTTCAAAAGTTAAAACGTTTTTAATAGAAAAAAGCTTATAAAGATATAAAGAAAATATTTTTGTACAGCTATACAATATGTTTGTGTTTTAAGCTAAGTATTATTATAAAAGAGTAAAAAAGTTTAAAAAATTTAAAAGTGTATAAAGTAAAAGAGTTACAGTAAGCTAAGGTTAATTTATTACTGAAAAAAGAAAAATGTTTTTATAAATTTAGTGTAGCCTAAGTGTAGGGTTTTTATAAAGTCAACAGTAGTGTACACTAATGTCCTAACCCTTCGTATTCACTCACCACCACACACACACACACAAAAATATATATATATAGCTGTACCAGTTTTAATCTTATTTATTTATTTATTTATTTTTGAGATGGCGTCTCACTCTGTTGCCCAGGATGGAGTACGGTGGCACAATCTCGGCTCAATGTGAGCTCCGCCTCCCGGGTTCAAGTGATTTTCCTGCCTCAGCCTCCCGAGTAGCTGGGACTACAGGAGTGTTCCACCACACCTGGCTAATTTTTTGTATTTTTAGTAGAGATGGGGTTTCACCCTGTTAGGCAGGATGGCCTCGATCTCCTGACCTCGTGATCCGCCCACCTTGACCTCCCAAACTGCTGGGATTACAGGCATGAGCCACCACGCCCGGCCCATTTTTAATCTTTTATACTGCATTTTCACTGTATCTTTTCTGTGTTTAGATATGTTTAGATACACAACGTCTTACCATTGTGTTACAGTTGCCTATGGTAGTCAGTACAGTAACATGCTGTACAGGTTTGTGGCCTGAGAATAGGCTATGCCATACAGCCTAGGTTTGCAGGAGGCTATACCATCTAGGTTGTGTAAGTACACTCCAGAATGTTCGTACAAGGACAAAATTGTCTAACCAAGTATTTTTCAGAATGGATACCCATCATTAAGCAACACAACTGTAGTTTCCTAATTGGTCTCTCTGCTTCTTCCCTTGACCTGCCCGCTTTTTCCTCATTTGTCCTCCCATAGGCCATTCTCATCAGAGCTGCCAAAGCTATCTTCTTAAATTGTAAGCAGATAGTATCATTTCCATGCTCAAAAACCCTCCGGCAGCTTCCCATCTCACTCAGAGGAAAAGCCAAAATTAGTACCACGGGCCATAAAGCCCAATCTGATCTGCCCTCCTCCCCTCCACTTACCTTTCTTCTCTTCTCTCCCACTACTCTCCCCTTCAATTACTCTATTTCAGCCACACCAGCCTCTTCACTAACAGGCATGTTGCCACTTCAAAGCCTTTACAACTGCTGTTCCCTCTGCCTGGAATAACTTTCCTCACTTATGCATAAATAGATCCTTTACTTCCTTCATATCTTTATTACTACCTTTTCAGGATGCCTTCCCTGAAGAGCCCATCTAAAACTCAAACTCCTGTCTCTAATTCTAAATATCCTCTCACTTCACATTTTTTCTTAGTATTTTTCACCATTTAATATACTTCATATTTAATTTACTTACCTTATTATCTGGCCCACAAAAATGTAAGTACCATGATAGTAGGGGGGTTGCCTCTTGTTCACTGCTATATCCCAAGCACCTAGGATCGTGCCTGTTACACAGACAGCGTTCAATAAATGATGAGTCTATGAATGAACGAATCCTTAATATATGAAGAACTCTGGAAAAGAAATTTGAAAACAGAACGCTACTTTAGAAAACATATAATTCACAAAAGATTTTTTAAATGCTTGACTTCAATAAGTAATCAAACAATTGTTTTATAGTAAATTAATTTATAGCAATGAGGAACAAAGATTACTACTATTTAGAATATCCATTGTTATCAATGGTGTATGAGGATATAGGCAATCTTATGCCAATAATACTGCAGATTATTGGAACTTTACAGAAGAATAATTGGATAGGCTCAGGGAACCTTTAATAACAGCATACATTTTGACCTATCAATTCTACTTTTAGGAGCCTGCTCCCCCTCCAAAAAATTTAGAAAAGTACATTAAAACATGTGCCAAATAGTTGCTGATAAACACACAGTTTATAATTTCAATAAGCTAGAGAGAACCAAATCACCCATCAGCAGGGGTAAACGTATACCACGAAATACTTTAAAATGATGGCATAATTTGTGATTGTTTAAATGGAAAGATACCAATCATATATTGTTAAATAAGAAAGGTTGGTTACAGAGTTGTATGTATAGTGTGACCGCAATTTTGAAGCCATCATGCACATATATAGAACATATGAACGTATACGTATGTATTCACAAAGGCGGGGGTGAAAAGATGGAAAGTAAATTTTGACAGTAGTTGCATGGCTGGTAGAACTATGAATGATTTTTGTTCTTCGAGCTTTTCTGTATTTTTCTCCACCCCACTCTACTCCCCAAATGAGGTGGAGTAGGGGACGAGGAGAATGAGTTTAGTACGTACACAAAACAATGCAGCTAATACACGAAAATAAAATTAAAAATGAAGTGTTGAGGCTATCGATGTTTCATATAAAAACATATTTCCGGTCGGGCGCGGTGGCTCACGTCTGCAATCCCAGCACTTTGGGAGGCCGAGGCGGGTGGATCACCTGAGGTGAGGAGTTCGAAACCAGCCTGACCCACATGGAGAAACCCTTTCTCTACAAAAAATACAAAATTAGCCAGGCGTGGTGGCACGCGCCTGTAATTCCAGCTACTCGGGAGGCTGAGGCAGGAGAATCGCTTGTACCCGGGTGGCAGAGGTTGTGGTGAGCGGAGATCGCGCCATTGCACTCCAGCAGCCTGTGCAACAAGAGCGAAACTCCGTCTCAAAAACAAAACGAAAACAAACAAAAAGAACTTATTTCCAATGACCATAGCCAAAGACATGCAGCGCTGGCAGAAATGCCAAGTGTCACACATCTACACCCACAAGCACACCCTACCTTGCAAAAACAGTTTTTCATTCATTCAAGATCCCACTGTCACGCATGTTTGCACGCAGGTTCATACTGAAAGATAAAAGGGAAAGCGCCTCCACGAAATCCGCTTACGGACACGCTCCCGGGGCCACACTCAGCCAGACAAACGTCTGGCAAATGACAGTCACTTCACGCCAGACTCTAACAGTCCTTCGCACGCCACTCCCACTGCCTCAGGGAACCACAGACACAGGCATCGCCCCGCCTGGCGTCCTCTTCCAAAGATTGGGGCACCGGGTCCGCGGGCCCCCACTCCCACCCAGCACAAAGAGTCCGGCGCTCAGAGCTAGCGGTTTCCGGAGGACTCACCACCGAGCCCGCGGACACAGGCCCCGAAACCACACGTAAAGCTGCCGAAGTGGCACAGCCGGCGCGGGCTGGGACAGAGGCGCCCCTGAGGCCGGGGCTGTAGGTGGCTGAGGGCGCCACAAGCCTTGGTCCGTTAGACCAGGGGAGACGCTTCCCAGAGGCCCCCGCGGCTCACCCGGGCGGGACCGGCTTCCCCGTTTGCGCGTCCTGAGAAGCCGACCACGGCGTTCCAGGGCTCACAGCTCCGCGTAGGGGAGCTCAGCCTAGGGTTTTGCCGGAGCGGCCTCCTGCCAGCCCAGCTCTCAGATTGGGAGCGCAACTTGGTACTGAGAAGAATCGAGTCGTTCCGCTGCTTCCTGCCCCGAACTACATTTCCCAGAGGCCTTCGCGGCCCTACTCCCCCCTCTCCCCCTGCAAAAAGGCATTTCCTTCTTACAGTGGGCTGGAGCTGCAGGTTCGCAGGGTCCGTGAAGGAAGCCTGGCTCAGTCTGTTTAGTTCCGTCTTCTCGGGTTTCTACCTGAGACTAGAATACGGCGTGGTGAAGGTGGTGAGAGCTCAAGTGCCCGTGAAGGCCGGGTCAGCTGGAGCCTTAAGGTCCTGGCAGCGGCTAGAACAGGGAGGAGTGACGTTGTGTGACTGTATGTGTGAAACTTCGGCCATGGAATTTGGAGTTTGGGGTTTCCCGGGCGAGAGACCATGTCCAGTGACATCTGAGGTCGTGCGAATATGTGACCTTTTGTGTGACCATGGTCGCGTTTTATATTCTCGTGGCTGTTTGATTCTGACCTTGCATGTATTTGTTCTTTCTGGACTTCTCGAAGTGACAGTGTTACTGGATTTCATGACCTGGGATCGTGAGCGAAAAGTAGTGTGGCCAATCCGCCTGGATTCTAAACAGACTTGGCCTTACTAGCTGTGTCATCTCAGACTAGGTACTTAATTTCTCCATGCCTTTAGTCTTAATATTTTTTTTTTTTTTTTTTGAGACAGAGCCTCACTTTGTAACCCATGCTGGAGTGCTGCGGCGCGATGCTGGCTCACTGCTGCCTCGAACTCCCGGGCTCAAGCGATTCTCTGCCTCAGCCTTCCGAGTAACTGGGACTACAATCACGGGACACCCCGCCTGGCTGATTTTTTTTTTTTTTTTTTTTAATTCTTAGAGATGAGGTCTCACTATGTTGCCCAGGCTGGTCTCAAACTTCTGAGCTCAAGCGATCCTCCGCCTGGGCCTCACAAAGTGCTGGGGTTACAGGCAAGAGCCGCACGGGGCCGGTCTTAATACCTTTAATAAAGAGATAATAGGCCGGACGTGGTGGCTCACGCCTGTGATCCCAGCACTTTGGGTGGCCAAGGCGGACGGATCATTTGAGGTCTGGCGGTTTTTTCTCTTTTTCTTTCTTTCTTTTCTTTTTTTTAGACGGACTTTTGCTCTGTCGCTCAGGCTGGAGTGCAGTGGCGTGATCTCGGCTCACTGCAACCTCCGCCTCTCCGCCTCCCGGGTTCAGGCAGTTTTCCTGCCTCAGCCTCCTGAGTAGCTAGGACTACAGGCGCGTGCCACCACGCCCGGCTAATTCTTTTGTATTTTTATTAGAGACGGTATTCCACGATGTTGGTCAGGCTGGTCTGGAACTCCTGACCTCGTGATCTGCCCGCCTCGGCCTCCCAAAGTGCTGGGATTTCAGGCGTGAGCCACCGCGCCTGGCCAAGGGTAGCCAGTGGGAGGCTGCCAGGAGTGTAGTACGCTTGCGCAGTTTACCTCCTCGCACCCTTGCCCCCCCCCCAACTTTTTTCGGGTATCCAGCACAATTCTAGGAATTCGCCTCCCACCCATTTTGAGTAGACGCGCCACTAGCGCGTTCCCACGCACAAACCTTTTCCCTGCGGCCAACCCGCGGTTCTCAACTCCCCGCCCTGGTTGCTAAGTGGGGTGCGCGGAGCGCTTGTGCCTACCATACCAGCCACTGTAGTGTAACGCTGGGTCCCGTCCCTGTGACCCAGCCAGGCTCGGAGCTGCAGGGAATCCGGACTTTCGGGCTCTCTGGAAGGCAGGGAAAGAGGCCAGCGTGGGAGGACCTGGTGGGGAGGGGGCAGTGTTACAAACCCTGCGCGGAGCTGCCCTGTTGCTGCCAGACCCTACGGCGCCGCGACCTTTTCTACTCTGGACTACGTTTCCCAGCTGCCCCCGCGGGAGCTGGGCCCGCGGCCCCTTTGTGTCCTCCGGGGGCGGAGGCAGCTGAGGCGCTTCTTTCCGGGCCCGTAGGGGCTGGGTTCCATCCAACTCAGGGTAGGGGTGTGATCCGAGCGAAGATTCCCCGAGCCTTTGGGGCGGGAACGGGCTCTTCCCCCAGCTCTGTTCTGCAGGTAGGGAGTGGGCTGAGGAGTGGCGTGTGGTTCTCCGGAAGCTCGTCCCAGGCCCTCTGTGTGACTCCGGTGCAAGTGGAGGTTGGTACCGTAGTGCGAGGCTGTCACCGCGTGTGCCTGTCCACGTCCTGTGTGACTGGGTGCGAGGGAGTCAGTGGCACCGTGGAGTGTGAGGTTGTGAGTTGGGGGGGGAGCGGGCGAGTGTTCGCTGCCCCTTGTTGGGCCGATACCCGCGGCCTCTTTGTGACTGGGTTGTGAGACTGTCGCTTGTGATTAGATACCCTGGTGTCTGAGCCTTGCCGGTATGGGAAAGGGTGCCCGTGTGAGACAGTCCATACCCATGGCCTCAGACTGTGGCGTGGGTAAGACGGTGGTTGGCACTGTAGTTTTTCAGACTCTGATTATGTGGGGCATTGAATGAGAGACTGTGTGCCACCGAGAGGCTTTTAAAGCCGGCTCAAGTCATATCAATGTGCCACCAAGTTTCAGAATCACTGATTTATTGGAGAGGAGGATTGTGGGGTCAGGTCCTCTTTTATTTGATCTTGGTGCTCTTATTTATTAGTTCTGTGTCTTTATGTGAAAGCTTACATTCCTCTGAGTCTGTATTTGTAAAACCTAGAACATCTGGTGTTAAGCTAAGGAATTGGAAAATGATTTAGGCATGAGTTAAATTGTATGCAAACAAACTCCTAGGTCTCCATTATGTTCTCTATATTGGAGGGAAGGTTGCAAGAGGAGGAAAGAGAATCCTAAAAAGTCTAGACTGGTGATTCTGGATGCTGCAAGAAAAGTCTAGTTTCTCATGTTCTTTTCCCCATCTCAGTTATCTGAGGCCACTGCCATTTCCCAAGAGAAGAGCAAGGAGGGAGAAAGAATGGCTGTTGGGCTTCTTAAAGCCATGTACCAGGTGCGTTGGTGTTTTCTCTATTTCCTGAATACCTGTCTGCTTTTCAGAACAAGCAGATACTAATTTTCCTTCTGCTGAAACGTTTCTGGGTAACCAGTCATATCACTTATCAACACTCTCCACTGGATTCCCATCTTATTCAAGATAAATGCTTAAGTCCTTGTCTTGACCTGCAGGGCCCTGCATAATCTGGTCCCTGACTGTCCCTCTGACTTCATCTAATTTTTCTCACCCTGTCTTTAACTCAGTCACTCAGTTCCAGCAACACTAGCTTCCTTGTAATGTGGTGAGTACATTCTTTCTTTTTTTTTTTTTGAGACATAGTCTCACTCTGTCACCAGGCTGGAGTGGAGCGGCCGCGATATGGGCTCACTGCAACCTCCGCCTCCCAAGTTCAAACAATTCTCCTGCCTCAGCCTCCCGAGTAGCTGGGACTACAGGCACATGCCACCAGACCCAGCTAATTTTTTGTATTTTTAGTAGAGACAAGGTTTCACCTTGTTGGCCAGGATGGTGTCGAACTCCAGACCTCAGGTGATCTGCCCGCCTCAGCCTCCCAAAGTGCTGGGATTACAGGCATGAGCTACCACACTTGGCCTGGCCAGTGAGTACATTCTTTTTGTTTGTTTGTTTGTTTTGAGACGGAATCTCTCTCTGTCCCCAGGCTGGAGTGCAGTGGCACGATCTCGGCTCACTGCAAGCTCCGCCTCCCGAGTTCACACCATCCTTCTGCCTCAGCCTCCCGAGTAGCTGGGAATACAGGCACTCGCCACCACGCCCAGCTAATTTTTTGTATTTTTAGGAGAGATGGGGTTTCACCATGTTAGCCAGGATGGTCTTGTTCTCCTGACCTCGTGATCCACCCGCCTCAGCCTGTCAAAGTGCTGGGATTACAGGCGTGAGCCACCGTGGCTGGCTGCCAGTAAGTACATTCTTAATGCATGACCTTGCACTTGCTATTGCCTCTGCCTGGGATACTGTTCCCTCAGATACGGATACAGACCAACTTCCTCACTCTAGTTTCCTCACTCTAGTTTCTAACCAAACAACATTCATTCATTCTAATTTTTAGTAAGCACGCATTACCACTGGGTATCACAGTGCTTAGTCCCTCATCCTGTTCTCTATCTACACTTACTACCTTGGTGATCTCATCCTGTCTCATAGCCTCAAATACCATGTATATGCCAACAACTACCAAACTGTACACAGCCCAGACCTCTCTCTTGAACTCTAGAGTTGTATACCTGACTGCCTACTTAACATCTTCATTTGGTTGCATAAGAGATATCTCAAATGCAAACATCTTACAAATGGAGTGAAACGAACCACTGGCGGTTTTGGAACATGAGTGACATGAACTGATTTTCATTTGGTAGGATCACTCTGGCTGCTACTGAGAATAAACTGAATGGGACAAGGATAGAATTAGGGAACTCAACTAGGAAACTCTTAGGTACTTTCCTAGCTCCACTGATTAAGCTAAAAGTCTTCCATCAGGAAATCAGAGACTTCAAAATACATCCAGAATCAGATTACTTTTTTTTTGAGATGGAGTCTCGCTCTGTCAGCCAGGCTGGAGTGTAGTGGCATGATCTCGACTCACTGCAACCCTCGCCTCTCCCTGGTTCAAGCGATTCTCTTGCCTCACTCTCCTGAGTACAGGCATGCGCCACGACGCCCAGCTAATTTTTGTATTTTTAGTAGCAACAGGGTTTCACCATGTTGGCCAGGATGGTCTCTCTCTCTCTTGACCTTGTGATCCACCTGCCTTGGCCTCCCAAAGACTGGGATTATAGGCGTGAGCCACGGCATCCAGCCCAGAGTACTTTTTAGTATCACCACTGCTTCCATTATGTTCTGAACCATCATCTCTCACCTGTGTTACTGTGGTACTCTCCTAACTTCTCTCTCTACCTCCACTCTTGTTCTCTTTTAGTCTGTTCTCAGTGGAGCAGCCAAAGTGATGCTGTTAATACATAAGTTATATGAGTTCATTATTTATAGGCAGAAGGTGGGTGGAAATAACAGAGAGCATAGACAACTCTTTCAAAAAGTTTAGCTATGGCCGGGCGCGGTGGCTCAAGCCTGTAATCCCAGCACTTTGGGAGGCCGAGACGGGCGGATCACGAAGTCAGGAGATCGAGACCATCCTGGCTAAACAAAAAACTAGCCAGGTGAGGTGGCGGGCGCCTGTAGTCCCAGCTACTCGGGAGGCTAAGGCAGGAGAATGGCATCAACCCAGGAGGTGGAGCTTGCAGTGAGCTGAGATCCGGCAACGGCACTCCAGCCTGGGCGACAGAGCGAGACTCCGTCTCAAAAAAAAAAAAAAAAAAGGTTTAGCTATAAGAGGAGAGAGCCGGACGTGGTGGCTCACTCCTGTAATCCCAGCACTTTGGGAGGCCAAGGCGGGCGGATCACCTGAGGTGAGGGAGTTCGAGACCAGTCAGACCAACATGCGGAAACCCCATCTTTACTAAAAACACAAAAAATTAGCCAGGCGTGGTGGCACATGCCTGTAATCCCAGCTACTCGGGAGGCTGAGGCAGGAGAATCACTTGAACCTCGGAAGTGGAGGTTGCAATGAACTGAGATTGTGCCATTGCACTCCAGCCTGGGCAACAAGAGCAAAACTCTGTCTCAAAAAAAAAAAAAAAAAAAAAAAAAGAAGGAGAGAAATGGGTGGTAACTGAAGGAGAAAGTCATAATTGACAAAGTCTCAGAAAGATGGATATATGTTGCCAGGCTGATGCTAAAGATTCAGTAGAAAGGGAGATTTGAAGATGAATAGAGAAAAGGGAATTGCTGGAACAATGTGCTTAAGTAGGTAAGAGGAGCTAAGTGTTTGGCCTTTTCTAGGAAAGGGGTTGTTCAGTTATAGGAATAAGGGCATGTTAGGGTGTAGAAGCACAGGTGCAGGTGGATGTGTAGATGTGGTGGGAGTTTGTGGGAATTATCTTTCAATGGGTTTTGTTTTCTCAGAGAAAAAGTAAGATTGTCAGCTGAGAGTGAGCATGGGGAAGGAGATCTTGAAGGTGTGAGGAGAGAGGGGATAGTATCAAATGGTCATTTAGCAGAGTGAAGGGATGAATGGACTAGGGAAATGTATCATGCAGCACTTCGGCCCACTTGAGGTTAAGTGATCATGAATTTAAAGTGATACTAATTTGCATGGTTGGTATGATTTTCTCTAGCAGAGTTCAGCTATGCAGGGTACACGCACAGAGTAAGCAGAAAGATGGCTGCAGTTTAACCAAGTGAGTACAGTTAAGTGAGAGAGGGGCAGGGAAGGCAAGGGCATATGCAGGGGGTGATTATAACAGATGGTTGTGCTGGGAAGTGAGGGTACTCAGGGATGAGGAACAGTGAAAAAGTGGTAAAAAGTGGTAAGAACAATAAATTGTACTTCTCCAGAATTTGACTTCTGGTGGAGTCAAGAAACTATCCAGTTTGGGGTACCACAGGGCAACAGTTGAGATATAGGAGGTGGAAGTCAGAGTGGGGTAATTGAGGTTATGAAGGGTTTGGTATTGACTGGTACTGACAAGGTCTGGGTTATGACCATGGACATGAATGACTGTAGAAGCGTAGAGGATAAGACTATTCCAGGAGAGAGGGGTCAGAGAACTAAGAGGCCGGGTTGTAGGGAGTATTATTTATGTGGATATCGAAGTGACCAAAGAATGATAGGAATGGCATTGAAGAGAGTGACAGTGAGTCAGATGCTGAAGAATTTAAGGAATGACAGAGAACTGGTATCTATCAGGAATTAGTAGATACCTATCACAAGGAAGGATTGTGATTGACACATTCTAATTTCATGAGGTTTAAAACTAGATGTCTTTTAGGGAGGAGGAAATATTTTGGAAACAAGAGCAAAGAGGTGACCTGCCTCACCTTCAAGTGCTGTGGTACAAGGAATGTGGGGAAGAAAACATTCATCAGTGACAGGGCGTTAGGGGAAGTCGTCCTCTCAGCTGGAAGCCATGTTTCTTTAAGGGCAAAAAGAAAACAGGAAAAAGTGGGAACTGTAGTTTTGCTTCAGACTGGTTTGATGATAATTGTGAATGGATTTTGAAACCAAGTATTATCATTTGTTAGGGGTCAAATATTTTAAGATCAGAATGTAAACTCCTATATTGACATAGAAATTATTTTTGTTGACTATAAAGCATCAGTGGAAAGTATATATGTCGTATATAAATATTTATACATTTATTGTATGTATTTATATAAGCTAAGGAAAACAGGAAGCATTGTTAACAGGAGCAGAGAGGGAGAGATTTGCCTACTTCCTATAAGTGAAAAAAAAGGTTACTGAGTGTTGAACTTGAAGAATTTTGCTTCTGTAGAGGTAGTTTGTTTTGTTTTGTTTTGTTTTTGAGACAAAGTGTTGCTGTGTTGCCTAGGCTAGAGTGCAGTGGCACAATCTCAGCTCACCGCAACCTCTGCCTCCCGGATTCAAGCGATTCTCCTGCCTCAGCCTCCCGAGTACTGGGGATTATAGGTGCTATAATATATAGCACCTATAAAATATAAAATATATATAAAATATAGCTAATTTTTGTATTTTTAATAGAGACAGGGTTTTACCATGTTGGCCAGGCTGTTCTGGAACTCCTGACCTCAAGTGATCCACCCACCTTGGCCTCCCGAGTGCTGGGATTACAGGTGTGAGCCACCTCACCCAGCCTAGAGACAGTTTCTTTAACTGTAACAAAATTGTGTCAAATGCAAAAAGTTGCATTGCCAGGTTCACATCTTTTAATTTTGTAAAAAATTAATACATACACATATAATGAATGTTTGTTTCATCAGCATGTGGTCACATTATAGAAACCTGGAATCCAACAGCATCACAGCAGCACGTTTTGTTTTGTTTTGTTTTGTTTTTAGATGGAGTCTCGCCCTGTTGCCCAGGTTGGAGTGCAGTGGCACCATCTTGGCTCACTGCAACCTCCGCCTCCTGGGTTCAAGCGATTCTCCTGCCTCAGCCTCCGGAGTAGCTGGGACTACAGGCACGCACCACCATGCCTAGCTAATTTTTGTATTTTTAGTAGAGACAGCATTTCACCATATTGGCCAGGCTGGTCGCGAACTCCTGACCTCAGGTGATCCACCCACCTCGCCCTCCCAAAGTGCTGGGATTACAGGCATGAGCCCAGCTCAGTGTCAAGTTTTTAAGAACTTTCTCTAACCCCTATAGGCGGAAGCAATATTATGAGTAGAACACCCATTTCTTTACACAAAATTTTGAGAACTCTGCATTAAAGTATTTGAATTTTAATGGAATTGATGCTTTGCTCTGCTTGGTTTGGTACAGTTGTCAGAGATACAGCGAACACTTTCTGGGATTATTTTTGATCCCTTTCTAGCTTCTTGAAATTTTCTTCAAGCCACTCATTGATTAATTCAACTTAGTCAATATTTGAATACTTCAGGTGTGCCAGATTCTATTCTGTACCTGGGGATAAAGCAGTGACCAAAGCCAAAACATAATCTGCCCTCATGGAGCTTAAATTTTAGTTGAGGAGGGTGAAGAACGGGCAATGATTAAAATAATTAAGTGCTGTGGAGGGTTAGGGAATTGGGGTTGAAGCATTACTATTTTATACTGGAATAATCTGAGACATACAAAGGCCCTGAGTACAAATATGGTAACATGGTTACATATTTGAGAATGTAATATCAGAGAGGGCCCAGTGTGCCTAGGGCAGAGGAAATGAGGTGAATATAGTAAGAGATAAGGTTCTTTCATTTATTTCATTTCAGGAGTTGGTGACCTTCAGAGATGTGGCTGTAGACTTCTCCCAAGAAGAATGGGATTGTCTGGATTCTTCTCAAAGACACCTGTATAGTAATGTGATGCTGGAGAACTACAGGATCTTAGTATCACTGGGTAAGGATATCTTCTTGCAAAATTCAGCTTCTACTCAAAAGGGGCTCTTTGCTACCACTATTGTGAATTTTTGGATAACATCTGCAAAGTTTGGCTGAATGTCTGCTGCCAATGCCAAATGAATGGGTTAGTGTTTGTGGATTTGGCAGTGAACATATTCTTGGCCTATGCCTGAAGCTTCATCTTCCTTATCCTTCTAATACATGTCCTTTACACATTTCTCTTTTTTGCTTACTGTAAACTCCCTTTTCCCCGATGTTTTAAGGATTGAATGTGAGTTCTGGAATATCCACAGCATGACCAAATTCTACTTTTTTTTCATATATTGCAGGACTTTGCTTTTCCAAACCAAGTGTGATATTATTGTTGGAACAAGGAAAAGCACCCTGGATGGTGAAGAGAGAGCTGACAAAAGGCTTGTGCTCAGGTTAGTGAAGAGGAAATTGGCAAAAATCTTTGCACGTGACAGCTCAGCTTGACTCAAAGGTATCACCTCTTCACTCTTCAGGCTTCCAAATTCTTCTCAGATGTTCTAGGTCTTTATAAAAATTTGGGGCCATTTAGGATGTTCTCCCACATTTCTTATTTTTAATTATTTCATTTCTCTCACTTTCCTATCTCCTTTCTAGTAAGTCCCATTCCCTCTCAGTTTCATAAGCCTCTCAGTCTTTAAAAAATCTTTTACTAGTCTTACAAACTTTTTTTTTTTTTTTTGAGATGGAGTCTCGCTCTGTCACCCAAGCTGGAGTGCAGTGGTGTGATCTCGGCTCACCACAACCCCTGCCTCCCAGGTTCAAGTGATTCTCCTGCCTCAGCCTCCCGAGGAGCTGGGATTACAGGCACACACCACCACGCCCAGCTAATTTTTATATTTTTAATAGAGACAGGGTTTCTCCATGTTAGGCTGGTCTCAAACTCCTGACCTCACGTGATCTGCCTGCCTCGGCCTTCCAAAGTGCTGGGATTACAGGCATGAGCCACTGCACCTGGCATCTTACAAATTTTTGAGCTCTACAGAGCATCAGAAGTGTAGGCAGTCTTGGGGACTGAGTCTTCAACCTGAAGCATCTGATGCTATCTCCAGGTAGATAGAGCTGAGGTAGAGGACACCCACTGCAGAATTCATTGCTTGCTATCCCAGAGTGCTGGGATTACAGACGTGAGCCACCGCACCCAGCCTGTAGCTTATGTTTTTGATACTTTAAGAAACCTTCTGTGTTCTGAGTTCATATAGATATCCGAAAATAGTCTTTTAAAGATTGTCCTTTTATATCTAGGTCCATAATCCAATTGGAACTTATTTTTGAGGATTATGTTAAATAAGAATTTAATTTCCGTATCTTGGCCGGGCACGGTGGCTCAAGCCTGTAATCCCAGCACTTTAGGAGGCCGAGACGGGCACGAAGTCACAAGATCAAGACCATCCTGGCTAACACGGTGAAACCCCGTCTCTACTAAAAAATACAAAAAACTAGCCGGGTGAGGTGGCGGGCGCCTGTAGTCTCAGCTACTCGGGAGGCTGAGGCAGGAGAATGGCGTGAACCCGGGAGGCGGAGCTTGCAGTGAGCTGAGATCTGGCCACTGCACTCCAGCCTGGGCGACAGAATGAGACTCTGTCTCAAAAAAAAAAAGAATTTAATTTCTGTCCCAGATATTTTTTAAATAAATGCTCCCTCTGCCTGTTTTCCTGAATGTTACCTCTTAATATATCAAGTTTTAGTCTTTTTATGGTTGTGACTTTAAACTTTATTCAATTTCATTGATCTCTTTTTCTTTATACTAGTACCACACTATCTTAATAAAAATAGTTTCTTAGAATGATAATTATCTGCTAGGGAACATCTCTACAGCTTGTTTAAATTCTTTAGAATTTCTTGTTTGCCTTTTGGCCATCAATATAAAGTTTAGGGTCAACTTGTAAATTTTGATCAGAAAACAACACAATGCTGTTAAGTTTTGATTCCAATTTTAAGTTTTGATTCAAATTTTATTCTGTAATCAATTCTGGAAATTTAAAAAATTCATTAACATGGTATAGCTCTCCATTTATTTAGGTTTTTTTACTTTTTTCAATGTGTTATAATTTTCTCCAAAAAAGGCTATGCACACCTTCTGTTAGATTAATTGTAAACATTAAACATACTAGTTTCGTTGCTGTGTTAAATGTTACCTATATTTTCTGTTTGTTGCATATATATAGAAATGAAGTTAACTTTATATACATTGATTTTATATCCACCAACCTTGCTAATCTCTCCTGTTAATACTAATATTTTTAGATATGTTTGGATTTTATGTATGAGTAGACATGTTTGTGAATAATGACAATTTCTTCATTTTTAATTCTTATAACTTAATTTCTTTTTCTGTTGCCTTTGTTTTATCTTCAGTATAATATGAATCGAAGTAGTGATAACAGGCATTCTTGTCCACTTCTGGTCTTAATAAGAATATTTAATATTTTGTTTTTTGATAATTGTGATGTTTAAAAGTTTTTGGTACATACCCTTTCATTCCTGTTTGCTAGAGTTTCATTGTGGAAAGCTTTTGAGTTTTACCAAATGTTTTTCTCCATCTGTAGGTGATTTTACCTCTTACCAGGTTTTAGTTTTTCACCTCTTAATGTGGTAATTTACAGACATTTTCAAATGTTAAACCAACATTGCATTCCCAAGATAAACCCATCTTTATATCTTTTCCATTTTTTGCTAGTTGCTATTTGCCAATGTTTTGTTTGGGTGTTTTGCATCTGCATTTATTAGTGAATTTGGCCTTCAGTTTTCCCTTCTTGTCAGATTTTAGAATCAAGGTTGATTATTCTCATAAATTCTTTTTCTTCTTTAGAAACATTTGTGAAAAATAAAAATTATTTGTTTTTTGAATGTTTGGTAGAACTTTGTTCATCTTGGCCAGGAATTTTTATTGTTAAAAGAATTTAAACTAATCATTCAATTTGATATGTTCTAAAATTCTAGATTTTCTATTTCTCCTGGAGTCAATTAGGGTATTTTTTTCTAAATATTTTTAGTTTTGTTGTAAGTTTCCAAACTTACTAGATGAAGTTGTCCATTATTTTTCTAGTTCTCAATGATCTCTTGATCCGTGAATTATTTAGAAGTCTGAAATTGAAGGCTTTTGTTTGGTACTTGTTTAATTGCATGATGGTTAGAGAATGGGATCTCTTTAATATACATTTTTTGAAAGTATTTTGAGACTTGCTTTATTTCTTAGGGCTAGTTTTGGTGAATATTCTATGTGTCCTTGAATATAATATGTATTTTCTGGTTATTGAATACAGTGTTTGATATATGCTCATTAGATTAAGCTCATTAACTGTGCTGGTCAAATCTGTGTCCTTATGGATTTTAAAAAAATGTCTTTGAGCAATCAGTTACTGGCAGACATGTTAAAGAAACTTCTATTCTGGTGGTAAATACATAAATTTTTTTCTCATAATTGTAACAGCAGATTTTTTGTATTTTGAAGGTATTTTGTTTGGTCATATGTTTTTAGAATGTTTTCTTTTTCTAGTGAATTTTTTCTTATGTTATTGTTACTCTCTTTAAATCTTGTGATTATCTGATTAAGCAAAAAAGTTCACTTAATATTGTTATAGCTTTATTTGCCTTTTGTTAATATTTACTTGATGTAGTTTTTTTCTACTCCTTTATTCTCTGACCTTGCCATGTGTTTCTCTGATAAGCAGTATTTGGATAAACATTTTTTTAAATCCAGCCTGATAACCTTTATCTTTTAACCAAATGATGGTGGTTTATTAAATGTTTTGGTACTGTTAATAGACTTGGATTTATTTTCCACTGTCTCACTTTCTTTTAGAAATTGTACCTTTTCAAATTTTTCTTGTTTCTTGGTTTTTCTCCATCTCCTAATTTGAATGATATACAATCTATTTCTATTCTGTACTGGTTACCTTAGAAAATCTAACATTTATGGCTGGGTGTGGTGGCTCACGCCTGTAATCCCAACACTTTGGGAGGCTGAGGCGGGCGGATCACGAGGTCAAGAAATCGAGACCAGTGTGGCCGACATGGTGAAACCCCATCTCTACTAAAAATACAAAAATTAGCTGGGTATGGTGGCGTGCGCCTGCAGTTCCAGCTACTCCGGAGGCTGAGGCAGGAGATTCACTTGAACCCAGGAGGCGGAGGTTGCAGTGAGCCGAGATGGCGCCACTGCACTCCAGCCTGGGCAACAAGAGCAAAACTCCATCTCAAAAAAAAAAATACAAGAACCTTAGACTGTCTTAACTTACCCTCATTTCAGTTATTCCTTGTTTTTCTTCAATGCCATAAACTATTATTTTGCTTTATGAAGTTATATAATAGACCATTATTACATTTAGTGTTGTTTAGATTTATCCACTTTTGGCTAGGTGCGGTGGCTTATGGCTGTAATCCCAGCACTTTGGGAGGCCAAGGCAGGTGGATCACTTGAGTCCAGGAGTTTGAGACCAGCCTGGGCAACATGGTAGAACCCCGTCTCTACAAAATGCAAAAATTAGCTGGGTATGGGGGTATGTGCCTGTAGTTCCAGTTACTTGGGAGGCTGAGGTGGGAGGATTGCTTGAGCCCAGGAGTTCAAGGCTGCAGTGAGCTGAGAACGTGGCACTGCACTACAATCTGGGTGACAAAGCAAGGTTCTGTCTCAAAAAAAAAAAAAAAAAAATTTCACGTTTGTCATTTTCCTTGTTCACCATTCTATCCCAGAACTTTTTCCTGAAGTAATTTCCTTATAAATATTTTAGAGATATACTATTCATATAAACTTATATTGTTGTTATTGTTTTGTTTCCTTGTCAGTCATAGATTGACAGATTTTTTAATTTTTTTGAGATGGAGTCTTGCACTGTCGCCTGGGCTGGAGTGCAGTGGCATGATCTCGGCTTACCGCAACCTCCCCATACCGGGTTCAGGCAATTCTCCTGCCTCAGCCTCCCGAGTAGCTGGGATTACAGGTGCGTGCCACCATGCCCATCTAATTTTTTGTATTTTTAGTAGAGATGGGGGTTTCACTAGGTTGGCCAGGATGGTCTCAAACTCCTGACCTGGTGATCCACCCGCCTCAGCCTCCCAAAGTGCTGGGATTACACACGTGAGCCACTGTGCCCGGCAACAGATTATTTTTATGAGTGCTTTAAAGATACCATTCCATGCTTTTCTGGCTTCTGTTCTTGCTTTTGAAAAGTCAGTTTTCTTAATATATTCTTCCTTGCAACTTTCAAGAACTTTCTTCTTGCCCTGGTTATTCTACATTTTCAATGTGATGTATCTAGATGTCAATTTCAGCTGCTACACTTGGGATTTATTGTGATTTTTTTTATCTGACCATTAATGGACTCTGGGTAATTATCAGCTATTATCTCTTCACATATTGTCACTTTCCCATTCTCTGTGTTTGTTTTTCCTAAAACTCCAGTTAGATGTGCCTAAGACCAAACTCACTAGGGATAAATTGATGCTCCCAGCTTCAGTTCCACCTTACCTACTTGAAAGTGCCTTCTAGAGTCTGTTTGATCTTTGAGAGTTTACCTTAGTTTCCTGCCAGCTGGGTAATGCAGCTAAAAGAAAGTTTTTCTATTTCTACAAAATCATAAGCTTTTTTGTACCAGGAAGATTTGTCATTATAAAACTAGTCTGCTATATTGCCGGACTACTTTAGGTACCTCATATAAGTGGAATCATACAATATTGGTCCCTTTTGTGACTGGCTTATTTCACTTACTGTAATGTCCTTAAATTATATCTGTATTATAGCATATGTCAGAATTTCCTCCTCGTTTAGGGCTGAATAATCTATTGTATGTATATACCACATTTTGTGTTGACTTCATGGAATAGCAACCAGCTGTTACTGCTCTACTCAAACCATTTCAGTGGGTCTCCATCTGTGTTAGGCCGTTCTTGCACTGCTATAAAGAAATATAATACCTGAGACTGGGTAATTTCTATGAAAAGAGGTTTAATTAGCTGTCAGTTCTGTAGGCTGTACAGGAAGCATAGTGGCATCTTCCTCCGAGGAGGTCTCAGGAAGCTTCCAATTATGGCAGAAGGTGAACAGAGAGCAGGCACATCACTTGGCAAAAGCCAGGAGCGTATGAGAGAGGGGGGAGGTGCCACACACTTTTAAAGGACCAGATCTCATGAGAAGTCCCTCACTATCATGACCGTACCAATAGGATGATACTAAACCATTCATGAGGACTCCACCCCCATGATCCAGTCACCTCCCACCAGGCCCCACCTCCAACACTGAGGATTACATTTCAACATGAGATTTGGATGGAACTATATTACCATGTGTTACGGTTTGACTCTGTGTCCCCATCCAAATCTCATCCTGAATTGTAATCCCCATGTGTTGAGGGAGGGACATGGTGGGAAGTGATTGGATGGGGGCAATTTACCCCATGCTGTTCTCATGCTAGTGAGGAAGTTCTCATGAGACCTGATGGTTTCAAAGTGGCAGTTTCTCCTGCTCGCTCTGTCTCTCTCTCTCTGTCTCTCTCTCTCTCCCTCTCCCTCTCTCCCTTTCTCCCTCTCTCTCTCTCCTTCTCTCCTGCCACCTTGTAAAGAAGGTGCCTGCTTCCCCTTCACCTTCTGCCATGATTGTAAGTTTCCCGAGGCCTTCTCAGCCATGCAGAACTGTGAGTCGATTAACCCTCCTTTGTTTATAAATTACCCAGTCTCAGGTAGTGTCTTTATAACAACGTGAAAACAAACCAATACACTCTCCCTCTCAGAGTAAAAGCCAAATTCCCTTCGAAGGCCTGTGAAGCTTAAATAATCTCATTACCTTTTACCTACTGACTTTATATCCTGCTACTCACTCTATAGCCACACTGGCCTTCTTAATATTCCCCAGACATAGTAGACATGCTTCTACTTTTGGGCCTTTGAACCAGCTACTACCTCTTCCCTGAATGCTTTTTCCCCAGAGACTTGAATGACTGACTGACTTCTTCACTTTCTTCAAATCTTTGCTTAAATGTTAACTTATTAATGATTCCTAGCTCTAATTTCATCAGTACCCATGACATCCCCTACCCTGATTTTCTTCCTCTGAAGCACTTAGTATCTTCTAACATAAAATGAAATTTACTTATTTATCACTTATTTTCTGTCTCTTCTAAGAAAATAACATCTTTGAAGGTAATGATCTTTGTTTTGTGATATTAAAAGCATCAGAATAGTATCTGGCAAAAGGTAAATATTTGTTCAATGAATGTTCTTGAATGAAGCAGCTAAAAGAGTGGAGACTATTTCAGTGTCTATTTTATTAACACAGGCATAAAATTGTAACCAGCTCTGACCACATCTCTAATTTCTTCCTGCCCTGAGATTTACTGATTTTTCTTTTATAACTCTAATTATTTCTTCTTAGGTTTCTGTATGACCTGTTTTCAGTTTCTCTTCTTGTATACTTCAGAACTGCAAAAGCCAATGTTCCTGTGGGTTTTGCTATTTAATTCACATATTTTACTTTACAGATGTACTTTCTTAAATATACTTTCTGATACTCAAAGAGGAGACATTTTTTCTTATTATTACTTTTCAGGCTGGGAGCCTATATGTGAGACTGAAGAATTAACCCCAAAGCAGGACTTTTATGAAGAACATCAATCCCAGAAGATAATAGAAACACTTACAAGCTATAACCTTGAATACTCCAGTTTGAAAGAAGAGTGGAAATGTGAGGGCTATTTTGAAAGGCAACCAGGGAATCAGAAGGCGTGTTTCAAGGAAGAGATAATCACTCATGAAGAACCCCTTGTTGATGAAAGAGAACAAGAATATAAATCTTGGGGAAGTTTTCATCAGAACCCACTGCTTTGTACACAAAGGATAATCCCCAAAGAGGAGAAAGTACATAAACATGACACACAAAAGAGAAGCTTTAAAAAAAATTTAATGGCTATTAAGCCCAAGAGTGTCTGTGCAGAGAAGAAACTTTTGAAATGTAATGACTGCGAAAAAGTCTTCAGCCAGAGTTCATCCCTTACTCTTCATCAAAGAATTCATACTGGAGAGAAACCCTATAAATGTATAGAGTGTGGAAAAGCCTTCAGCCAGAGATCAAATCTTGTTCAGCATCAGAGGATTCACACTGGAGAAAAACCCTATGAATGTAAGGAATGTAGGAAAGCCTTCAGTCAGAATGCACATCTAGTTCAACATCTGCGAGTTCATACTGGAGAAAAACCTTATGAATGTAAGGTATGTCGAAAAGCCTTCAGTCAGTTTGCCTACCTTGCTCAACACCAGAGAGTTCATACAGGAGAGAAACCCTACGAATGTATCGAATGTGGGAAAGCTTTTAGCAACAGATCATCCATTGCTCAACACCAGAGAGTTCATACAGGAGAGAAACCCTATGAATGTAACGTCTGTGGGAAAGCATTTAGCCTTCGTGCATACCTTACAGTACATCAGAGAATACATACTGGAGAGAGACCCTATGAATGTAAGGAATGTGGGAAGGCCTTCAGCCAGAATTCACACCTTGCTCAACATCAGAGAATTCATACTGGAGAAAAGCCTTATAAGTGTCAGGAATGTAGAAAAGCATTCAGCCAGATTGCCTACCTTGCTCAGCATCAAAGAGTTCATACTGGAGAGAAACCCTATGAATGTATCGAATGTGGGAAGGCTTTTAGCAATGACTCGTCCCTTACTCAACATCAGCGAGTTCATACTGGAGAGAAACCTTACGAATGTACTGTTTGTGGAAAGGCTTTTAGTTACTGTGGATCCCTTGCCCAACATCAGAGAATTCATACTGGAGAGAGACCCTATGAATGTAAGGAATGCAAAAAAACCTTCAGGCAGCATGCACACCTTGCTCATCACCAGAGAATTCACACTGGGGAGTCACTGTCACCACCCAACCCAGTCAATCACCAAGTCCTATAGATCCTCAGTCCTAAATGTTTCTAGAATTTGTACTCTTTTTTATCTTTAATGTTGTCACCTTGGTCCGATTCATCTCACTCTGATTACTAATATAGCTTTCAAACAGGTCTTCCTGTATTTATTTTTGCTACCTTTAAGTCCATTTCCCACAATGCACTCAAACTGATCTTTTTTTCTTTCTTTTTAAAACTTTTTTTTTTATTTTTGAGACAATGTCTTGCTCTGTTGCCCAGGCTGGAGTGCAGTGAGATGATCTCAGCTCACTGCAACCTCTGACTCCCAGCCTCCGCCTCCAGGGTTCAAGCAATTCTTGTGCCTCAGCCTCCCGAGTAGCTGGGACTACAGACGTGCACCACCATGCCTGGCTAATTTTTGTATTTTTTAGTAGAGATGGGGTTTTGCCATGTTGGCCAGGCTGGTCTTGAACTCCTGATCTCAAGCGATCTGTCTGTCTTGGCCTCCCAAAGTGCCTGGATTACAGGCATAAGCCACCACGCCCAGCCTCTAACTGTTCTTTTCAAAGTATAAGAAACAACATATGGGCTGGGCACAGTGGCTCACACCTGTAATCTCAACACTTTGGGAGGCCGAGGTGGGCGGATCACCCGAGGTTAGGAGTTTGAGACTAACATGGCGAAAGCCCATCTGTACTAAAAATACAAAATTAGCCAGGCATGGTGGTGCACACTTGTAATCCCAGCTACTCTGGAGGCTGAGGCAGGAGC